CAGTAGTTGTATATATTACCAGTCAGTAGCAGTAGTTGTATATATTACCAGTCAGTAGCAGTAGGTGTATATATATTACCAGTCTGTAGCAGTAGTTGTATATATTACCAGTCAGTGTCAGTAGTTGTATATATATTACCAGTCAGTGTCAGTAGTTGTATATATTACCAGTCCGTGGCAGTAGTCATATATATTACCAGTCAGTGGCAGTAGTTGTAGCCCAGCTCTCGGCTGATGGTCCAGTTGGCATGTTCTTCTATCTGCTGCTCATCAGGAAACACGATGGTCTGATTAAACCAGGAGAACTCGAGCTCCACACAGGGAGTCTCCTACAGAGAGCAAGATAATCAATCAGTTAATAAATCGAATCAATCCAATAGATAGAGAGACAGACAAGTAGACGAGGTCTTGTGAACCTTATTGGGATTTGAACCAGCAACTCCAATGGGATTGAGGAGGTCCTCAAGGCCGTGAGGGACCGGCCAAAGACTGAGAGCCACTTTACCCGAAACCAGAATGTCTGTGTAGTCAAACAGGTTAACGTTTCCCCAGGCCAGAGGACAGTGCTCCTGAAGACAGACAGGTGAGAGACAGACAGTTTGATTCATTCTTTCTCTAATTCCTTCATTATGTGTTTCCTTCCTTCCTTCCTTCCTTCCCTACCTCCTTGGCTCCTTTCCTTCCTTTCACAGAACAGATAGACAGGCAGAGTCTGGCTGAGCGAGGGAGGTCAGCCAGGTAGATGTCATAGGTCAGCCACTCGTTCCACCTGGACACAGACAGGTAAGACAGAGGGACAGATGGTCAACAATACAAAGCAGTAAACAGGTAGAGAAACCCTCAAATTCCACCAGGTGCATCTTCAAATTCCACAAGAGCGTTTCAGAATGTCTTCAGCATCTTGCCATACGTTGTTGACTATAAAAGGATGTAAATCATGTTGTTTTGAGGTGTTGTTTGTTTCTCTATCTCAAGTCTCCTCTGACTGACTCACTTCCTGTCTTGTGAATGAAATTTGTTCCGGAGTATATTGAGTGTGTATATTGAGTGTGTACATTCAGTGTGTATATTGTGTTACCTGGGGTTGGAGCAGGGGACTCTCTGTGTGTTGACGTTGTCACAAAGCGGCTCTCCACCATGATAAATACCTGTCCTTACATAGATCTAAACACACACACAGAGGACAAACACATTTAAATGGTTTTTGCAGGACTCTCAGCTAAACCCAAACATCCAGTCAATGTATTCCAAAAATTTGGAAGGGTAGCACCTTTTATTTTTCAAGAAAAGGAGGTCAGTTAGTTTTCCCTGTGTTTCCTGTCATTACCTGTGTGTCTCTGTGTGATGGACGTGATATCACTCTCTCCTCTCCTGATTGTGCACACCTGAAGCCCATCCACTAATCCACCCTGCAGAATATCAACTGTAGTTGATCACCCACTCATCACCCGATCACTGAATCACCACCAGCGGTAATTTACGCGTTAGACCCCTAGAATTGTGTATTCTAGTTTCTCTGTCTTGTTAACTTTTTCTAACTTCAGTTTTATTGAAGATCATCGTCAGCCACACTCAAGCTTCCCTCACTCACCTCTGCCTCCTACCACCACCATTACCCTTACATTGGACAATAAATTACTCTTTAATTCAAACATCCAAAATGAGTCTGTGTCATTCTTAAGTGGAAAGCGGTCGCAGTCATGGGTTTCCAAAGATTACTATCCTTAACTTTTAGGCCCTCGTTAAGTCCATTTGGTGTCATAGTGTTGAGTGTGTACAGAACTGGGTACAGAAATCTCTGGGTCAGTTTCTCTAGAAAAGTATCTCCTCTGGTTGGCATTAAGACAATCTCAATCCCACTAAATCTTAATGAAGATGGTCAACCGTAGTTCACTTCAGGATGTTTTTAAGTAGCATAATCCATATTGCCTGTACAGATTGATGTTTTGTGCTCTGATATTTGTTGTAGTGATTGGTCACAACTCACTGCTGTGGATTAACTCTGCCAGAGTGCATTTGATATTGACATTATTGTGATGATTTTTGGACCATTTCAGGTTCAGGAAATCCAGAGACACAAACCTTGTCGATGTCTCTGATGTTGACGTTGACGTAGGTGGCGCAGAGCAGTCGGACCCTCAACAGAGTGTTGAAGGCCCACAGAGAGCGAGGAGGAGAACCATCACCTCCTCCTGGACAGGGAGATGGCTGAGGAGTCCGACGACTGAAACAGAAACCACAAACTTCCTCTACCTGGCTACAGTTCACCTGTACAAGCTCCTGATTGGCTGTGATATGAATGACAGAGATGCTGATTGACTGCTGTACCTGTATGAAGGAGTGACAAAGCCAGAGGCAGGTAGCTGAGAGTAGAGACTGTCTTTGGAGACCAGCATGAGGTGAGGAAGACGACCCACTATGATACAGGACCGGATATACTGCAGAGAGACAGGTGGAGGAGGGACAGGCAGACTCAGTGAGACAGGTTGTACTGAAGAGCTTGTTGATGAAGGATTATGTCTTCAGAGGGAAGTTGTTACCTTGTACTGACTGAGAGGATACTTCTCCAACAGGTACTCATCACAGCCACACACCTGAAGAGACAGACAGGTAGACAGGCAGCTGAGTCAGTCAGACAGACAGACAGACAGACAGACAGACAGACAGACAGGTGTACCTTCAGGATGTACTGTCCCTGGTACTCCTGGACACAAAGGCGGAGCTGTTGAGGTGAAAGGTGCATCGAACGACTTTTCTTCCTGATGGACTCCGCTATCAGCTGCTCAGGTAAACTGTCATGACTCACCTGTACACAA